AGGATCTACAAATTTTATATAATACTTATATATGAAATTTCATCAGCCTAGCTTTAACGGTACTCAAGTTATCGTGTTTACAGACACACATCCACACATCCGGACAGAATTGCTAAGTCCAGTTTTTTCGACAAGATTACGCGTAAAAGGTCGAAATTTTAATAAATCTAAATTTAGAATTTTTGCCCGATTAAAATTAGTCCCCTATACTCCGTTTATAATGAAGTACTGAGAAGTAAAACGGTGGAAACTGTCAAAATTTCATGTGAATTTTGTGCACGATTACAATACTTTCTCTATACTCTGTATACGAGAAAGCATAAACCGGGAGTGATCTCGCCTAAACTATCTCGAATATTCTTATATAAAACCACAGGGGATGGGAACTCAGGGTATAGTTACGTTTTTTAATCCATTTTAAATACTTAAACTTTTATAAAATAGAATAAAATCTCATTGAAAAAAGAATTGCGCATCAAGCGAACGCCAAAACAAAATGTGCATAATAGTGCGGAATATTATTAGTACTTTATAAATTTACATGCGTTTTTTTGAGAAATCGGAAATAGCGTAAATTATTATTTCCGGTCAACGGAAATTACTCAAAATTTGAGAGAAGGTAGAGAATTAGATTTTTTACTTATGTGTAAAATTTCATTTATCTATTTGAAATAGTACTCACGTTATAGGCTTTTGAACAATTCAAAGTAGAAAAAGTACCACTTCCGGTTGTTGGAAATCGCTCAAAAAGTTGATAGGGATCTAAGATTTTGATAAAATACTTTTATATAATTGCATCAACCTAGCTGTAACGGTACTCAATTTATCGTGTTTACAAACACACAGACACACAAACATACGGACAAGATTGCAAAATTATGTTTTTCCGTATCAGTGAAGTGTAAAACGTCGAGATTTGCAAAAACCTCGATTTTTTTTTGCATGATTACAAGACTTTCTCTATACTTCGTATATAAGAGAAAGTAAAAAGAAAAGCTGGCTGAAATGGCGCCTAACCAGTTGACACGTATAATTAACTGTATTGGAGGGGATCCCTTCCAACACTAAAATAAAGAAATGTTTGTATTCAATTTACCGCTCATTGAACACAATTGACAGCTTTTTAAATTACCAGTTTTGTAAATATCGGTGTCGAATGTTCCTATAAGTTATAAATTAATATCTTGAATGGTATGCTGATTAGGATATATATATATATATATATAATCAGGGGCCCCCAAAAAGTTTCAGCCCGGGGCCCCGCCCAAGCTTAATCCGCCCCTGCCACGAACCCTGAGCGTTGTACGTCTACATTTAATGTATTCGTGTATACAAATTTTGTAACGCGTCATCAGGTTAAAGACGGCGATTTGAAGCACAGCAGGGCGGTTCAGTCAGACAGCGGTCGGCGCGTCATGTTTATATTTTCGGTCCACTTCAAAGTCTATATATATATAGACGTCCTTATTATAGGGCCTTATAGGACATATGATACATATTAATAAACGTCGAGATTTCAGGAATACAGATCAGGGTGCAAATAAAAAATCGGTCCATAAATAGCTCAAATAACTTAGTTTAACTTTGCGGTCTGATATCTCCGAAAGTATTTAACATATTTTAACCAAGAACCCTGAGCGTTATACGTGTACATTTAATCTATTCTTCTACAAAGTTTCACAGTTTTAGTACGAAAACTCACAGAGTCTATAGACTCCAAGTAACACCCCCTTTTAAAAAGGTGAAAAAGCCTCCCCCCTAATCGGCACCGCGGAGGGTAAAAAATGCGATTTAATCGGCGATTTCTTCAACGTCTGAAATAATACAGAAATCAAACTAATACAGTTAAAAAGGTTATTCAGTTGTTACGAACAGAATGATGTATAACATGTTAATATAAACACAAGAAAAGCATGCAAAAAACAGAGTTAAACATGCAGGGGGTAGGGAAAAGCCAATTTGTCCGATTTTCTCGGCAGCGGCATTGGCCTAGCTATTTTAAGGTCAATTATTTTTTTGTGTGTCTTCTGCCAGCCAGCCTAGGCTAGGGGACAAAAGCTTCTTCTGACTATTCACGTGTTTACAACTGCAGGACCCTAAAACCAACCCTAAACCTATCCCTAGCCATAGGTCACTGCGCATGCGCAGAGGTAAATTTTAAGTCAAGCCAGGCAGTTTAAGTCGAGTCAGAAGTCAGATAGGCTGCTCCACTATATGATTACGTGTTCAAATGTTATTAGAAACGGCACGATTACTTATATACACTCACATGTCTATTCTTTTTGTGAAGCTATTTCTATGCTCTAGTACTGTTTACGTCTATTGGGTTTATTAGGCGTTACAGATTGTTGTTAGATTAGAGTGTACTAATTTTTGTTTGGTTATTTTTGTAATGTTATTTTTTAATGTTTGTTGTACCACCGGACAAGTGTTCAGCACGTATAAATTTGGGATTGAGTTTTTTTTTTAATGGAAGGTACCTCTGTCTGAATACTTGTCTGCGCGGGCACTAAATTGGTCACGTAAAACCATTGCTCATAGTCTCGAAATACCATTTTTTCAGACCCACGCTTACAGAGAATGAGACGAGATGAAGCTGACACTTCAAAGAGTGCCGCCACCTGAAGCCCTGATTACGTCGAGTTACCTGGACAGCGAACAACCCTGTCAAACAGAGAATTGCCCTGGTCAAGACAGCGGACGCATCGCCACCGCTTCGCCCCACCCTGGGGTTATCTAACAGGCCGCCAGCTACGTACACCTACGTCGGCACATACAAAGAGTAGAAGACCCATCGTCCAAGTTCCCAGCGTCGGAATGTTACGTCATTGTTCGCCACCGCATCACACAGCTCCAGTTCATCGTATAACCGCTTAACATGGACGACACCCAGGGTTGAGATGAGATTGTTGCGTCATCACATTGACCAACGAAAGTTACGCCTACGCCCGCCTCACGGGAATTTGCATCGACCAACGCCACAACCCACCCACCACAGAGGAACGCCAATAATTACATAACACTTACACACACACACACTTACACTGCTCGCTGAGCCGTTCAACCAGTTACACATCGCCACTAAGATTAGCTCAAGGCCAGTACACGACAACCTAGCCAGAACTGAGTTACACATGATTGAATTCACACATACATACCATAAAACATTGACATACGTTATCAAGCAGAAACACCACAGACGTCAGGATACTTACACAGGACATAAAACAATGACATTTTTTTTTCAAGAACACAGACACAAGATTTTATGTTTTTGTAAACTGTGCTGTCCCATTTTTATATTTGATTTTTATGATTGATGTTAGGGATAGAAAAGAGTAGTAAGATAGATAGTTGTTGATGTATTAGATTAGTAGCAGACGCTGAAAAATATAATTTGTCAGCTACAGAAAGGGAGGGAGATATGTGATGACGCAATGTTGCGTCGAAGCCAGGTAGATAGCAGAAACAGGCTATAGAGTTGGTCAGAGAGAGAAAGACAATGAAAATACGACTGACCGGTCACGTGCGACGGTCAGCTGACCACTGAGGCGTGGGGCAGTAGACTGTTAGGCCGGCAGATCATGATTAGCTAGCGAAGGTAGAAGGTGGTAGGTTGTAGAATGGAACAGAACAGAGGTAGTATGTAGATTGTAGAGAACAGTTTATAAGTGTTAGGATTGGTCATGGGAGTGTGTAGTTAGTGGTATAATGAACAGTCAGATAGAAGTAGTACAGTGTAGATCAGTTAGGTAGAAATTTGAATATATATATCATTTTAATAAAGAACAGTTTTGTATTAAACTTGGAGACTTGTGTTGGATCCTGTTGTCATCATCACATTCATAATAATCCCCCCTCATCACACTTATGTTCGGTGTCTTCTGTATATAGCCTACATTAAAAAAAATCCTTTGAAAAAAAAATACCCGGATGGAATCGATTTTCTTGATGGTTATATAGTGTGAAAAAAAAGAAAGAATGAAAGACGAGTTTTTAGTTGTTATGTGTACTTTTATTTAAAGCAGATAATAATTAAATCTCTCTTAAGCAAAGCTCAAAGCATTACTGTTTTGTTGAAAAAGCGTTAAAAATTATATAATCATTAAAATTTGAAAAGTATACAAAGCCTTCTGAGTTTAGAAGTAAAGTTCTCTACAGTATTTAAAGTATTATTGCACTATGTAGAAACACATAATTAATGATGCATTTTTTAATTGACATACAAATCTTTACAATCTAGGTTTTTCATTTGTAGTACATTTTGTTCACAATGGCGAAGACATCATGGTTTAAGTCTAAATCTATAAAGTGGCTTTCAAAATAAATTTGAGATTTTTTTTATCCGAAGCATAGTTTATAATCTTTGATATTGAAGTAGGTCTAGATACCATATTATATTGCTGTGAATGGTACGGATTCTATAAAAAAACATTAATAATGTCAAGGGAAAAAACAAAAAGTACTCATGCGCCGTTCACATGTTGCGTTTGACCATGCTATTGTTACAGTTAGAGGTATCTTAATCCCGCGTTATCGTCAGGGTCAGACTTCGAGTTTACAACCCTTGGGTTAAGATTAGATTTCACAATTAACACGCACGAGCATAAACATAATCAGCCGTCAGTCTCCGTGTTACCTCACAACGCGAGCTAATCAAGAAATTATGCGCATTTCGCCAGACCTGCACTCTTACCCATCGTTCCCTTTATCCCCCTGTCATTCAACATTTCACAAAGGCTAGATATCTCCTGATGGAGCTAATTGATTCAATTATCAAGACCGACAGAACTGCAAGTTTTTTTTTCGCCCATCGCACGAACTTCTGTCTGTTTTTGTAGAGGACACGAGTTTCTTTTGTTTTGCGAGTTAAGTAAACATCAGAGGTGGGTGGACTCGGACGTTCCACTGACTTGAATCTGGATTAGAACTCAATACTTTAGCAGTCTAGCAACAAAGGATCAAGTCAAGTTGTGCCGCTTGGCCAAGCTGTCCCATGATCAACTACTAGGAGTCAACTTGGAGTTTCCATTTCCAAAATTATCAAAAGAAGATGGTGCTGAATGGGGCACGTATCAAGAATGAATCCAGATACCACAAGAATGGCGCTTAACTGGAGTCCCCAAGGAAAAAGAACACCTGAAAGACCAAGGGAGACGTGGAGAAACACGGCAGAAAAACAACTGACAAAGGCAGGACTACCTTAGCGGACTGCCAAGAAAATTGCTAGAGACCCCAAAAGTAGAAAGAGCTTTCTGCAGAGGCTCCAAGTGTCTTGGGCAGAAAAGGGAAAAGATGATGAGTATTGAGTATGGTGTGAGACTAATATTGTCAACATACTATCACTTGTAGTCTATACATTCAGTAAGAAAGTGATTGTTAAATTAATTGATAATGCAAAAAACTCAACTGGAAAATAACTATAGCTTTATTTTTTTCATAAAATCCCCCCACCCCATCAAAATCTTAATCTGAAAATTGTTTTTATACTATTCCTTAACATCCCCACCCAAAGCAAAATTAATACTCCGAATATTAAAAATGTTTACAATATATACATTTCAAAAAGTGATCATGTCATTAGCTTAACATTATTTCTTTTGAAACAAAAAGAGATTGGCTTCTGTTAATAAACATTAAGCCCAAAAAATTAAAAAAAAACCCATGAGGAAAAGGCAAATTTTTTCTCCCAACAGTAACAATGAATCATGCTATACATACTCATACTATTAAGTATCCACATATATATAGACTTAATCAGATATTAATTAAATAAAAGCATACAGATCAATACTTTGCAAAATGTGTGGAAGCGCACAATCAATTAACTAGTTGGTGGGTGAAATTTTTGATCAAATAAAAGAATATCAGAAGTACGAAATTCAATACTTTTGATAGTATTATATACATACATCTAAAAATAAAATTAAAAATAGCCAAAAATGGTTGTGAGTGTTAAAAAGTAAATAGCTATGCCACTTCCTAAATGAACAATGGCAACATTTAAACAATGTTTCTGTGACAGTAAGATGCTAAAGATAGCCTAATTCTTCATGTATATAATAAACATAGCAAAATTTTAAAACAACTTTAAACATTGTAAAATTATAAGTAGATGTTTTAAAATGCTAAAGAATTTGAATGCAAAACTTTTTAAGAAACCATTTAAAATCTGCTCTATGATTTTAAAAATTACTATGAAAACAAATGTAACATGTATTAAAAATGGCAGTGAGGTTTAAAATCTGGTACATAAAATCTGGAATGATCTAAACACTTAGATTTTTCAGGCATAGAGTTTGAAATAAATGTAACCACTAATAGAGGCAAGAATAATCAATAAAGAAATTATGAAAATCATGTAAACTTTCGCTTGAATTAAAAACAAAAATATATAAATGCATATTAAATGCATGATACAGCATATAATAAGACAAAAAAAAACATCTTTATGTTATAGAACAGTCTCAAACATCTATTAAAAAAATAGTGATAAGAAATTCAAATCAAATTTTAAAGATAGTAAAAAATATTTTTTCAGAGTCGCTGCCTGAGAGAAACTTTTGGCGGGGCTGTAGTGGCGGTTGCCTTGTCGACTTTTTTTTGACCACGAGTTGTCTGTTTTCTGACAGGTCAGCTTGACTCTGCAATGGTAGGCTGTTTAACCTTTTTAGTGTTCTGTGGCTTTTCTTGTGAAATTAATATGGTTTTTTACTAAATAATTAAATTAAGAAAAAAAATGGTAATAATTATCAATAAAACAAATTCAAAAAAGAAAAACACCACAAAAATTAGCTCCTTAATCCAGAATGATTTTAAAATACATTTTATACAATACTGTTTTGGATTTTTAATTTAACTATCACTAAATGTAAAATATCTGAAACCAATGACATACATCAAACTTAAACCTATCTACTGGACTAAAAAATACTTACTTGTCTGTTTACTCTGAGCTACTACAGCCTCAGCACTTTGTCCCTTAGATTTTTGTCTCATAGGCTTTGAAATGGCAGAGATTTCAGGTACTGGAACTTCCACTGTTTCTGAAGGATTCTTGCGCTTACCACTAGCAGATGCCTGTTCAACAACTGGTACTTCACTAGCATTTTTTGCACAGCTGTTTCTAGATTTCTCCTGGGGTTCCTCAAGAGGTGGAGTGTTTTTTGGCGCCTCAGTTACTGAAGAAACTGTTTAGAAAAGAGAGATATGAAATTTCTGCCAATGGAATGAATCAAAATGAGATAATTCTTGAATCAAGATTTTAAAAAAAGGACCAACATACCTGCAGCTTGTCTGCCTCTTCCTTTTTTTGCTGCTGTCTCCTGGGTAATGGTAGGTACATCAACAACCTCAGCTGCCTTTTCAATTTGTGAATTTCTTGTCGGTGGGGGCTCAGCAGTAGGTAATTCTTGAATGTTTGCTGCCAGCTCTGTAATGTAAATGATACAAATTAAATAGAATTTAAAACAGTTATCTTTCCCTATATAAAATATTGTAGTGAATTTGTAGAAATTAGTCAATTGTGCTTAGTATGGCAAGAAGAAAAATGCATATCTTAATAAATAGTTGTTATTATAGCATGAAAATTGGATGAACTGTTAGGCCAAGCTTGATCTTTAATTAGAATATCTTAGTGTTAGTTAGGAGCAAGCCGATATTATAGAAATCTACTTTAATTAGGTGTATTTGATTACATTTTTACAATATTTGTATGTTTGAAGTATTATTGTAAAAGAACAACTGATTGATGTTAATTGTAATTTGTATCATTGTAAAGGGAATTGTCTGTGGTTTCAGAGGATAAGCTTATTAGAATTTTAGGAGATCGAGTTAAGTTTTTATATAGGGATTTGGGGTCGGTTAGCACAAAAGCGGGGGAAATTTTCACAGGTAAGCGCTAGAATTCGTGCCGAGAGCAAGGTGTCATCCGAGACGCTCGCGGGTGGGGTATATAAACCGGTGGGTTAGCCTTAGAGGGGATGGAGAAACGACTGCCCTAGCCAGTAATTTATGCAGCACACGTATTGGCGCTATAGTCTTGTTAGATGCGCGCTACACAGACAATTCCCGCTCAAGAAAGATATAGTCAAATAAAGATTTGCAGAAGACGACTTATGCTTCATCATGCTTGATCGTCTGTGACTGAGTGAGAAATAGAAGAGAAGAAAAACGTTACATTTGATAGAAGCAAGAATATTACAATAGAACAGTACAGTTGCAAGCAGTAAAAACATTACAATATTTTAACAAGACTAGTGTGAACTAGGATAACAATAGTAGTAGTAAATACCTGCACTCTGTTTTCCTCTACCCTTTCTGGTTGCTTGAATGCTCACTGTCTCAGTAACAGGCACCTCTTTATTGCTCTGACTTCCTGATTTGGGAAGGGGTTCATTAGCTACATTGTCAATGGAAGCAGACATGGTCGTTAATTTATTTGTGCTAACTGCTACACCAATAGCAACTGTTTATTATTTGAAATACATGATTTGGGTATATAGATGTCTATTATCTATATATCAACAAATTTTATACTGTGGCAGAAATCTTTAACGTTTTTTTGAGCAGTCTATTATTTTAATGAAAAGAAAAACACAACTTTTAAACCTTTTAAAAACTATTTAAGTAAAACAAAAAAAAAGTAACAGGTCAAACATTTTCTTGCAGCTGTAGTGCAGCCACTATACTTCTCTTCCCCCCCTCCCCTCCCCACCCCCCCACCACCACAAACCCAAGTGTAACAGCTTGTGTCAAATTTTATTAATTCAACAACTATCTGGATGATAAATGGATGCATTACATTAACTTTTTAAATTATAAAATCCAAGTTTCCCACCCATTAAAAAAAAATCAAATTGTGCTGGTGACAATTTTACAAAAGGCAAACCATAGGCAAACCATAAAGATAAAATTATAGGCAAAAATCTAACACAAGATAACAGCTGTGCTTGAACTATCTTAAAGTTAGATCTAAAGCGGGACTTTTGAACAATGTAGACCTAAAAATGGGAGCAATAGCCCTGCTAAATGTAACAGGTCCTAAAAAAAGGCGAGAAATAAAATGCAATAAAAAAGTTTTTATTGGTAAGATTAAATGGTAACCTACCTTTATTTTGTATGCCTCTAGCTTTTCTAACTTCAGGTTCCTGGCCATCAGAACCAGATTTTTTCTTCAGGGTGTCACTGACAACCATTTCTTTAACTGGAGAAACAGCAGCTCTTCTACCCCTTGGCTTTACAGGGGAAATCGCTTCAATGACCTTTGACCCCCTCTTAGTAGACCGTGATTGTACTTCAGCAGTTACAGGAATCGGTGCCTCTACAGTTGCTTCAGCATTTTTTCTCCTTCCTCTACTGGGGGCTGCAGCAGCAACAGGTTTTTCTGCTACCTGTGATTCAGAAACCACAGGTGCTGGTACTTGCTCTGGCACTACAGCATTTTTCCGTTTTCCTCTTGTAGAAGCAGTAGCAGGAACTTGTACTGATTCAGTAACTACAGGAACTTCCTCAGACACCACAGGAGCTTTTCGCCTGCCCCTAGAGGGAGGAGCTGATGCAACTGTTTTTTCTTCAGGTTTAGTTATTTCAGGAACTTCCTTGGTCACCGCAAGAGTTTTTCGCCTGCCCCTAGAGGGAGGAGCAGCTGCAGCTGTTTTTTCTTCAGATTCAGTTATTTCAGGAACTTCCTCGGTCACCGCAGGAGTTTTTCGCCTGCCCCTAGAGGGAGGAGCAGCTACAACTTGTTTTTCTTCTACTGTTGCTGTTTTAGAAACCATGGGCACTGGTACTGCCTCTGTTACCACAGGAGTTTTTCGCCTGCCCTGTGAGGGAGCCGCTACTGTTTTTTCTTCAGATTCAGTAATAACATGAACTTCCTCAGCGACCACAGGAGCTTTTCGCCTTCCCCTAGAGGGAGGTGCAACCTCTGTGACAAGAACAGGTACTGGTATGTCTTCAACAATTGTTTCTGCAGTTTTGCGGTTTCTAGATTTAGATGGTACCACACTAGGAACTGTTTTATCCACCTCAGACACTACTGAAATTTAAAAAAAACAAAATTAATGCTGAATTATTCAACTAAATGTTTTAAAACTTAAAAGACTAAGTATTAACATTTTTGATAAACATACCTTTAGGCAGTCTAGCTCTGCCTCTTTTAGTTACTGAATTCTCCAGAGCAACAGGAACATTGAAGCCAACTTTTTTATTAACTTTAGCACCTGTAGTCTGTGTCTCCTTGATGGGAGTGATGGCATCAGCACCCTTACTGACTGGTGACATAGTTCTATTCCGCTTCCCACTAGGTGTTCTTCCAGCAGGCTGTGCAGGCTGTTCTGCACCTTTAGCTTCTGTCACATCTGTGATGATAGCAGTCTCAACAGTTGCTGATGAATTTTGATCATTTTCTTTTTCTGTAAAAAGCATTCAATTTCATATTATTAGTGCAAAAGTGTGTGTGTGTGTGTGTGGGTAGGGGGGGGGGGAAGAAATGAATTAAAAATAAATGATTTAATATGTAGAATATAGCATAAAATATGTATACAACCGTTAGGTATGTTCTAAAGAACTCACCAGGTGCTAACACTGGGGAGCTAGAGACTAAAGGCACATTTTCTGCCACCTTGGGTGTAGCATGTTTTCTACTATCTCTCCTGGCTACAGGTAATGCTTGAGCTTTGATTGGTGTTTTGTTCTTTCTTATGCTTGAACTGTCTTCAGATTGCTCTGTAGTGACAGTTTCAGCCGATTCTTGCTCTACTGCTGAAGCTGTATGTAGCAGATTTGAAAGATAAATTATGACCATTTAAAAAATGAAATGATATACACTATTCTAGTCCTAATTTTCAAGATAGGGGTCGTCCATAAATGACGTCACACGCCTAGGGAGGGGGGGGGGGAGGGGTTCAGACTTTTGTGACGAAGTGTGACGAGGGGGAGGGGGGAGGGTAGAGACAGTGTGACGTCACGTTGTCTTGATTCCACGAATTGATTAACATGCATTTTTTTAGTTTTTAGAAAAATAAACATACTAAATACTAAATAATTTTTTTACATTGGTTGCGATACTTCTAAGTTGTCAAAAGATTGTGAAATATATATTTGTTCTAATTAAATTGCCCTATAATTTGACGATGTGTGTTGTGTAGTAGACTGCCGTATATGCAAATTTGTCAATACTGCTATATGAATAAAGGTCGGAAGCATATCAACTAGTGAGGGTAAGGCATGGGTATCAGTGTAATGCTTGCTATTCTTTGAAGTTTACAGAGTAGGGCAGTCATAATAAAACTTTAAACCCCGTCTGTCTGGCATAAGAGCAATGTCATACCAGTTAAGATCACATACAAGAGAGAATTATTTTTAGATATTGTGAACCAAAACATCCAGTCTACCTCAAATACAATTAGTATGTATTGAATCACATAATTTATTTTAACCACATGACAGATAAAATATAATCATGTCATGTTTGCCTGTCGTCCCTACTGGGACATAGGCCGCTGACAAGAGCTTTCCAGACGTCTCTGTCCAGGGCTAGTCTCTCCAACTGTCCCCAGGTGTATCCAATCTTCTTGGTGTCTTCTTCCAGGTCACGTCTCCAGGTCTTTCTTGGTCTGCCTCTCTTCCTCCTGCCTTGTGGATTCCAGGTGAGGGCCTGTCTTGTTATGCTGGATACAGGCTTCCTGAGTGTGTGGCCAATCCATTTCCATTTTCTCTGGAGGATCTCTACTTCCACTGGCAGTTGATTTGTCCGTTGCCATAGAACATCATTTCTGATGGTTTTAGGCCAGCGAATTCGCAGGATCTTTCTGAGACATGCGTTTATAAATGATTGTATTTTCTTCTTATTTATAGCAGTTATTCTCCATGTCTCAGCTCCATAGAGTAAAACAGGTTTTACTAGTGTGTTGAAGATCCGGATTTTTATTCTAAGGGTTAAATCTCCCGAACCCCAAACATTTTTTAGTTGGTTGAAGACTGCTCTTGCCTTACCCGTCCTTATTTTTATGTCTGCTTCTGTCCCACCCTGCTTATCAACAATACTTCCAAGGTAGGTGAATCTATCCACTTCTTCTAGGGCTTCTTCTGCCAGTGTTATAGGGTTGTTGTTTGATGCATTGACTTTGAGAACTTTACTTTTCCCTCTGTGGATGTTCAGACCCAGGCTTGTAGAAAAATTTGCAACCCTGTTGGTTTTATCCTGCATTTGCTGTTGTGTGTGAGAAAGGAGGGCCAGGTCGTCAGCAAAGTCCAGGTCATCCAGCTGGCTCCACAATGTCCACTGTATACCGTTTCGCGTTTTCTCTGTTGACATCTTCATAACCCAGTCTATGGCCAGTAGGAACAGGAATGGTGAAAGTAGGCAACCCTGCCTTACTCCGGTCCGTACTGGGAAGGCCTCTGTAGTCTGTTGGCCATGCACTACTCTACATTTGAGACCTTCATATGAAGACATAATAATGTTGACTATTTTCTGTGGCACCCCGTAGTGTCTCAACAATTTCCACATTGACTGCCTATCCAGGCTATCAAAGGCCTTCTCATAGTCTATGAAATTAATATAGAGAGATGAGTTCCACTCTTGGGTCTGTTCAATGATGATGCGCAGGGTAGCAATTTGGTCTATGCATGACCTTTCCTTCCTAAAGCCCGCCTGTTGATCTCGAAGCTGGGGATCTATGGCTTCCTTCATTCTGTTTAATAATATTCTGTTGAAGACTTTGCCTGGGATGGACAAAAGTGTTATCCCTCTATAGTTAGAGCATGCACTAAGATCGCCTTTCTTTGGAAGCTTTATGAGTAGTCCCTCCTTCCACTCCTCTGGTATTTGTTCATCTTCCCAGATTTTCTTGAAGAGTGTGTATAGTAGTGTGGTGCTAGTTTCTATATCTGCTGTCAGTGCTTCTGCCGGTATACCATCTATTCCTGGAGCCTTCCAATTTTTCAGCTGCTTTATAGCTCTATGTATCTCTTCTTTTGAAGGTGGGTTGCAGTCTATAGGGAGGTCACTTTCAGCTGGTGGTATGTCTTGCGTGCACTCTGGTGTTGGTCTATTCAGTAGTTCTTCAAAATGTTCTACCCATCTCTTCATCTGTCCTTCCGCATCAGGTATTGTCTTTCCATCTTTGGTTTTCACCAATAAATTAATCACTATACTATTGCTAAGTGTTGTAACATTCAAATAAAACATGCATGCTTTTATCACACAACTCCACTGATAAAAAGAAACAAAACAATAAACCCACTACCAATAAGTTTCTACATGCAAGTAAGACAAAATATTGTAGTGACTCAATTAAACAATGAGCTGTGACTGACCTCATAATATACAAATTATATAGAAATAAAATGCATCTGAAAACAAAAAATGTAATCAGTTTTGACTCAAGCTCTCTAAGATCAATATCATCCACTAAAATTTTTTTTTTAGCCCTAGTTAATTCCAAGTATTTTTTCTATCAATTTCCATTAAAGAAAATGTATAGTTGTAGGGGTCTACTTGTAAATTTTGTATGCCATGTTTAACATTTTCTAAGGTCACTAAATACTCTCAAAAACTCCCTGATACTACAACACGGTTGTATACCACAGTATGTGGGTTAAGATCTTAAACATTAATGTCAACCAGATAAAATAAGAGAAAGCAAACCCACTAGCACTAGTGTGTCTACAATTTTCATGCCTACGGATGTTGCTTTTATTAAAGTGTTAGCAAATAGTACTAAACCTACCTTTGACAGAACCCTGCTACTAGCATTAGGCATGCCTGGCACAGCAAAGGTAGTCTCCAAACAGCCAATTTTTATCCTGCTGGATGGGGTTCTCTTTATCCCTGGAGCCTTCTTTAATAAAGTAGATTGTTGAGAATCCAAAAGTACAATTCTCCTATCAACTATTGCTTTATTTTTTATTTTCCTTTTTCTATCTGCTGAATTAAAAAAAATAGTGGGGTTAGATTTATCACTGGAGCCTTGTTTAGCAAAACTGCATTTTCAATTACAGTTTGCCTATCAATGATTACTTTTTTTTTCTCTTCCTTTCTTTACCTGCTGAATTAAAAAAATAATTAGGGGCCCAAGTAAATAAGTATAGCTTATAGAGTCTTTGCATATGACCAGTGGCAGCATGGGTACTGTTGAATTAAAAAATTATGAATTACTAAAAAGCAGAATTTAAAACAACAAAATAGCGGCGAATGTTACGCCGCGGGTTGGCTCGTATTGATATATTTAGCCAGACTTCATTCTCAAGGGGGGGGGGGGGGGGGGTGCACTTGAAAATTTGGGGGATGCCTGGAGGAAACTGCATATAACGACACGTGTAGTTTAGTATGTGAACATCCACCAGCATGGTGTGCAGGTCTGCATTCAAAATGGCAATCTGTGCTGTGGAAGGTTGTGGTACTTGAAGTGTAGAATTCATCCAGCTTGGTGTTTTCTAACGTCTTCAAGAAGAGAATTATATATACAGATAGAAAATAATCATAATAACAATAAACATACCTGGAGCAGAAGTAATAGGTTCCAGAATAAGAGTTTTTTGATCATCGACTAACGGCGTATCTGTCACATCTGAGATATCAACATCAAAGTTAAAGAAATGTGGGCAGCACTAAGTATTATGTCAAGGAAATTTTTTAACACATTTTCTGTTACAAGACATTTCATCCATATCACAAGCATGTTCTTAATGATTATGGTGACAGCGAGGATTAGTAGTAACACATTTATTATCTTGAAAATTATATTCGGAATCATTCCACTCTTTCTCTGACTACGATTCCATGTCATAGAAAGCTGGGTCAGTGTCTAGTCCAATCCCACTATCTGTATGCTCATGAGGAAGCCTGTCAGCATTCTCAGCTACCTTATCAAAACTGGCATCTAATTTTCTTGAGGTACTTATAGTTTGCGGCAAGGGCTGTTGGCACATTGGGCTCAAAAGATTTTACCCTGAGACGAAGAAGCTAGCGATAAATGTATTTTTTTTAGAAGATTGAGAAGGAGTCATAAATGTTTCAATTTCTGAGGTAAATGGTGATAGAATATTGTCACAATGACTTTTTATAGGTGTGGAATGGTCAAAACAACTAGGAGAGGTCAACAAGGTGGCTAGATCTGTTATATCACAGGTATTTTCAACATCATTCTTAATCCCACTGTCTATACGAGAATTTCTATCACAGATGGTTACAATGTTTTCATGATGACATATAGTTGAATTACTGCAAACACACTGAAGCTGAGATGACATTTTACAGACTAGACAACTGAGATATATGTGATTTTATTGTCAGGGCTCTGTCCAGTAATTCACAACAAAAATCATCACTCAGTGGATGTTTGATAAATCATGTATCTTGCTAGAGGATTATTTATAAAATTTTGAGAACTTAACAGAGGACACACAAAATTTGTAATTGTTTGTAATTATTAAGTATCACGGTAAACTACAGCCTAGCAAAACACCTAAATTTGCCAACAGAAATAATTGATTAAAATAGCCTATTTAAATCTTTACAGGTAGAAAATGTACATAAAGTACACTTGCTGAAAAGTTACATGTATATAAAAATGGGTAATCCCTTAGTTTAGCGTCGGAAATTATCGGGTAATGTTTGTTGAGTTTCGGTAATTAGAGTTACGGTAAACCATGGTTTATTTGACCATTGAAATATAAATAAATTGAAAGTCGATTGTAGTAAATTAATGTTTTAATTTTTTAAGTTTAATCGACAAAAGGAAACAAGAATAAATATAATAGTAGATTTAAATTAGTAGATCTAAAAATAAAAACATATATAAATATAAATAATGTATCAAATGTAATAATTTAATGTTTTTGGCTTGCAGCGGATTTGCGACCATTAATTAATTAAATCTAGATCTAGCTAGATATCTAGCTGCTAGGCCAAGTAAAAAAATCTAGATTACGAAAATAGTAAAAATGATTACAAAATGTAAAAATGATTACAAAAATAGATCTATCCAAATTTTAAACATTCTGTTTAAAAATAAAAGAAGACGCCAAATAAAGTATGGTTTACGGTACTTCCGGTGAATTCCGGAAGTGTGTGACAGACTTTGTTATTGTTTTACTGTTTTTTACTGCTATACGATTCCGGAATAATAACCGACGCTAAACTAAGGGATTACCTAAAAATGATCCTTAACAGTTTGTAGCAGCGAGTTAAAGATTAAAAAGAAAACTAACCAATGCCATTATCACCCATGATTGTTTCCTTGGGTCGACTCTGATTTACAGAAAACTGTGCGCTAACGTGTATGTCCCTGAAGTAGAGTTAAGTTTCAATTTGTTTCAGTACAGTAAAATAAAAATAAAATATAAATAAGTATGGTCAAATTTCTAACCACAACCTAGAAAGTTGGGTTTTCACTTACTTGAAATCAGTAAGATTTTGGTAATCCCTTAGTTTAGCGTCGGTTATTATTCCGGAATCGTATAGCAGTAAAAAAACAGTAAAAGAATGCCAAAGTCTGTCACACACTTCCGGAATTCACCGGAAGTACTGTAAACCATACTTTATTTGGTGTCATCTTTTATTTTTATACAGAATGTTTAAAATTTAGATAGATTTATTTTTGTAATCATTTTTACTATTTTCGTAATCATTTTTACTATTTTCGTAATCTAGATTTTTTTACTTGGCCTAGCAGCTAGATATCTAGCTAGATCTAGATCTAATTAATTAATGGTAGCAAATCCGCTACAAGCAAAAAACATTAAATTATTAGCCTACATTTGACTTCATTATTTATATTTATATTAATATAGATCTGTTTTTTTTATTTTTAGATCTATTAATTTAAATCTACTATTACATTTATTCTTGTTTCCTTTTGTCGATTAAACTTAAAAAATTAAAACATTAATTTACTACAATCGACTTTCAATTTATTTATATTTCAATGGTCAAATAAACCATGGTTTACCGTAACTCTAATTACCGAGACTCAACAAACATTACCCGATAATTTCCGACGCTAAACTAAGGGATTACCAAGATTTTTCTTAAAGTTATTAACAAAATCTTTGCAATCCGTTAACAAATACTTTACTTTCCTTGCGTAGATTTGAACAGCACCAAATGTCAAGTGGCCACTAGCCCCAATTGACAAATCTTTTTTCTGGAACTACGAATTATAGCATAAAATTAAATTTTTGTACAGAATATAGTGTTTTAAAAAAGTACAGGATGCTACTAGATCTAACATGATTAGCCATTCGATAAAACTATTATTTGCTTACCCGAATGAAAATGTCCTCAAGATTTTTTTTAATGTTAGTCTCTAAAACATCGGCCTTGGTCAGTTTTTTCTTCCAATGAGCAGCCAGCCATGTATTTTTCAGGGGATCATTTTTATCAAGCACAATGCATCTGTGTCATTTTGTATTAGACTTTTTGTGTACAAGTTGAAAGATCTGAAGGGAGAAAAGTCAACATTTATTTCACAGGTCATAATGAAAACACACTGGTATACAGGTAAAGTTGCAATCCACAAGCATGCAGGTATAGTGGCAATACTAACATACAGGTGTAGTGGCAACATTTAAAGCATACACTATATATATATATATATATATATATATATATATATATATATATATATATATATATATATATATATATATATATATATATATATATATGTTGGCTGGTACCAAATTGTTGATTCTTAAGAAGCATGTTGGCTGGTATTATATTGTTTATTTTTAAGTAAAATGGTAACTTGGGTGCTTATTATAGGGGTTTAGGTGACTAGGACTAGATCTAGTAACAGAAACCAGTTAGTAATAAAACAGGATGATATTTCGAGTCGTCCCTTTGAATCCCGGACAGATCGTCCCCCCGGCGTGGCCTCAGCCAACCGGCGGGCTCGTTGCATTGAGTTAAATATAAACTCAAAACAATAATATAAACAATCTCCTTTTAGGTCGGTCAGGCCACATACCAGGCACACACAGTGTTGTGTGTCGTGCCTTAACCAAAATAAACTATCTCCCTTCATTATCATTAGATATATTTAATTAGTTAATTAATCAATTAGCTAATTTATAAAATTATGTATGATGCTATAGCAGTAGGTAAGTTACGGTAAGTATAATTTTTTAACTATGTATTTGTACTATAAAGAAACACCTTCGTTGTTTGAATACCACCCCCTCCCCTTCTTGAACTCAAAGTTAAACTTTTAACCCCGTTCGTAGAGACATGCGGTATGTTGTAAGGCGGCGGGTGGGTAGGGTATATACTCGTTGAAGAAAAAATCCACCGTGGTGCGTGTTATTGGCCTTGGGCCTTCGGTGACGTTGTTGGCGTTTGCTGTGAGGGGGAGAGGGGTGTGTTATATCCGTTTTAAAAAATCGCAACATGGTATTGGCCTATGATGACGTCGGCGCAAGCGGGGAGGGGGAGGGGGGAGACACTTTTTTTTTTTTAAACCAAGAACTAGGCGTTTAAAGGCTGTAATGAAAATCAAGGACTGGTATAGCCATGATGTCGAATTTAACGAGTGATGCTTGCTGGGTCTATCATACGATTGCTTGGCGATGGGAATCTTGTCAAGCTCAGTTTATATTTACAGTGAACTATTGGGATGCTGTCGTACATAAAGTAACAGCTACCGAATGTAGCACTTAAAACATCGAGTGCATCCCGCTCATTATAAAAATTTGAAATACAAGTTATGGATTGCCCAAAAACTTGAAGGACTATCAGAATATATGCATTGTGTTATAACATTAATCATTACGATATAACTAAAATGTGTATTCAAATATTTTTAGGCTAACAGGATCTGCATTTAAATAAACAAGACCTATTAGGCTACTTTTGCATGGTAGCACAACTACATTTTTAGAATTCATAATCAGTAGCCTAGTCGTGCATTAAAGGACTGTACTCAATAACAATGAAAAAAATGAAATGCCGGCTTCAAACTTCAAGCTATGATTTCCCCGTATTCTTCTACTAGAAATATAGCTCCGTTGTTCTAATGACCTCACCCTCCTCCTCTCACCTAGTTCAATTTAAAGTTACACTTTCAACCCCGTTAGGATGCGTGAACTGGTGAACCGCGTGAACTACTGATGACCTAACTATTGAAAAAAAAACTATTCTGGTGTTAAATTGCCCTCCCCTACTCGCAGCACTTTGGGGCCATACACATCAGGAAGGTCTAGGTCGGTGTTGTATCTCGTGCAAATTTACTCACAACACGACTACACACTATGCTTGTATCCAGGACTAAAGCTGCGACACTCGCATAGAGTTGGATTTATTCGTTAGATCATTGTGCTTCAAATTCTGTTTCAATATTGGATTAGATGGATATAATGTTGGAATTCAGTTAGTTTGTTATATTATATTTATCTAAATGTCGTGTACCATCAGAAACTAAATTGGTTGACAAGACACATGTGTAGGCTAAAGAATGACCTCTAGATCGAGCCAAAGATGGCTGGTTAAGGTTGACAAACTGTGGTTTTCAAATTTCATGGTGATACTTTTCTAAAGGATTTTATTTAGTGCTTTCTTTGGGATTATTTTGTGTGATGTGATTATTCAGAAGTAATTTGTAAGTAGAAGCTTTTCACATCCAACCATTTTAACAGTTTGCGATTGATCTGCGGCTGGGCTGATTAATTTACATTTAGCCGCATTTAGCGAAACTACACACTACACGGCGCCCTCAGGCCGTTGTTTCAGCATGCCCTACTAGTCAATTATAGACAACTTTAGAATCAATACATAGAGCCAACACACCGATTTTTATTTAATAATCTTCAAGAGCCATTCCTCTAGGGTCGTTATTTTCACGAAATTGTCGTTTTCCATTTTGTTGTCAAGAAACTGGTATTTAGTTCACGAGAACGTATGAAAACCACTCATGCGTGACCGAAATCGTCGATTGGGTGCCTTCACGTGGTTTGACACGTGTTGACCTAGGCCATTGTTTACATCCAAAAATCACCCAAAACGGCCTTTTTTCGAAAAATTTGTTTGAAAAAATGGCTAAGTCCAGTTTTAAAAAGTGTCATTTTCGGGCCCATTTTAAAAAACGTAAAAAAATCCGAACTACACGTAGAAAAAAATGGCTTTTTCGGCCCTTTTTAGCTCCAAAAACGCGTCGCGTGACGTCATCGTGACGTCAGCCGCCAACCAAAACGCGGAGAAAGCGCGCGTTTGATTGGTTGGCGGCTGACACTATGAAATCCTCTAAGGACGATTCGAATGGTATACCATAAAACAGATAGTATTAGTTACCTCACAAGTTAAAGACAGTTACAAGTACTATGGACGTTTCGACCCAAGGTCTTCGTCAGCACACAACAGTGTGGTTACAGATTAGACAAATAAAGACAAACAGTAACACATTTTTTTGACTTAGCTCGACAGTGAAAACACGTAAAAAGGGGTTAATCTAAGATATTGGGGATGAGCAGGCCGGGGAAATCTAAAATTTAATTAAAATTAAATGTTATCGGCTCACTCTGGTCGTACGGGCTACGAGCTCTATGCAGGTGCATGAGTGACACGAGTTTCCAAAATCTTATCCCAAAATGAGGTACCCACGCTGACATTTCTATACGCTATTTTTAGTATCATGACGTCATTACTACGCTAGTTGCCAGACTGAAACAACTAGGCCTAGTTTTTTGTTTTTTACGGAATGAACTGTTAAGTCTAGTATTTTAATTATAATTCAATTGTATCATGTGCGGAAAAAGTAAAATTATGGACATTATTGTATTAGTAATTTTATTAGTATATTGATTTTTTTCTTCACTGTGGGCCGACGGTAGCTGCATAGAATTTAATTCGTGACTGGTGGTTAACCTCATCAACGCTGCGTGGCCTATTCGTTTTATATAATTAGTAATGCTCGTTCAGTGTCCTTTTTCAGAGCTAGGCCTAATTACGAGCCATTTTTAGACTTAATTAATTGGCCGTTAGCCTTTTTCATTGCTGCGTATTTTAAAAAATGCTCGTTCAGCGGCCTTTTTTTTTGCGCTAAATAATCTGTTTACGGGCATTTTAAGCGTTTATTTATTTTATTTTTTTTTTAAGCTAGACGTAGATCTAGTTAAAAAAATAATTTTTATACAGCTGGCTATCTAGCATGCCTGATAATGATATGTGAACTTTAAAAAAAAATGACCAGAAGTAGTGAAGTAGGTCTGTTTTTCAATTTGCTTGAAGAAGGGGGGAGGGGAGGGGGGAAAGAGAGAACTGAAGACACCGACGACCATCTCGTGTACGCGTGTTCATTGCATGACGTGTACTATACTATAGGCCTGCTGAACTCACGGTCAACCCGCGACCGTATTGGGATTTTTCATCCACAGGATAGTAAACATAAGTAAGCAATCACATACGTCATGTTTTCAAGATGAAAAAAAAATGTAATGTAAAAAAAAAAATTCATAAAAAACGTTTTAATAACAAGCTTGTATGTACTAATGCACTAAAAAGTAGAAAATAAATTATAGACTACTATTTAAATAGCTATAAAGAAAAGCGTGGGTCACTTTAGTACTTTAGTACCTATTTTATATCTTTACTAATATTTGAGAAGAGACCCACGCTTTTCTTTATAGATTCTAGTTATTTAAATAGATCTAGTCTAGTAGTCTATAATTTATTTTCTACTTTTTAGTGCATTAGTACATAAAAGCTTGTAATTAAAAGGTTTTTTTATGAATTTTTTTTTCAGTACTTTACATGTTTTATTTACAATAGTGTTACATGATGAATAAAAAACCATTGCGCGTCTATTGAACGTGATGGCGCAGCTATGGAACGTGATGACGCGTGTGGTGTGGTTGGATAGACATGCCTACTAATTCGGTCCAAATTTTAATTAATTCATAAAAAAATAATTTTTAAAGCGACTTTCTAAGTCCGTAATAGAAGCACATTTAGAGAAAAAAATCCAAGTTGAATATCCAAGTGGACTTGATATAAGGTAAAATATCCAGTGAAAATATACGATACGTCCTGTCACAGACTTAGTTGATCAACTGGTTGACTCTTCTACGTGGGTCAGCGTGGTAGGCAGAGGCGGGGCTTACAACGACACGCCCATTGGACTATCATCTCCCCTTTCGTCTGACAAGCTGGCAAAGCCAGCGATGCTCACAACCCCCTCTACATGTTCATAACCAGAGTTTCTTTCAGGCATCTCTTCGGAGGGGCGAAGCCCCCCCGAAAATTTTTTACCGCCCCCCCGAACGAAATGAAATTTATATAATTTATATAGAAAATATATACTTTTAACAGTGTCCGCCCCCCCGGAGAAAGTTTACCGCCCCCCCGAAGATTTCAAGTGCCCCCCCCGGAGAAAAAAGTCTGGAAGAAACACTGTTCATAACCTGATCACACTCTCTATCACATACAATACAACTGATACAATAACATTCTAACATTCAGCTCCATGGCATCGGCCTTTAACAGGACAACTAATTTAATCGCTTTATCATAGAGATTGTTTGGGTACAATGGCATAGTTGTAAGTAGTACACTAATGCAAAAAACAAAACAAAAATGGGACAAATCAAGCTAATACAATGAAGATGGAGAAACTTACAATGGCAAGTAAGACACAACGAAGGAGAGAGAAAAAAATACAAAAAGAAACAGCGCCCACCCAGTTGGCTTGGGGTCGGCCGAGAACAACGGTCAAGTTTCCAACAACGATGGGACTGGATGGGACCCAGTGGCGGAACTAGAAAAAAGGGCCATCCCGCAAAATTTTTGTTTAGCCCCCCCCCCCCCCCCCCCAGTGGCGTGCAGACCTATGTAGATGCCCGGGGCAAACTCAAGCGGAAGATGCCCCCCATAAATACATACATATATATATATATATATATATATATATATATATATATATATATATATATATATATATATATATATATATATATATATATATATATATATATATATATATATATATATATATATATATATATGTATATATATATGTATATATATATATATATATATATATATATATATATATATGTATATATATATATATATATATATATATATATATATATATATGTATATATATATATATATATTATATATATGTATATATATATATATATATATATATATATATATATATATATATGTATATATATATATATGTATATATATATATATGTATATATATATATATATATATATATATATGTATATATATATATATATATATATATATATATATATATGTATATATATATGTATATATATATATATATATGTATATGTATATATATATGTATATATATATATATATATATATATGTATATATATATATATATATATATATATGTATATATATATATATATATATATATATATATATATATATATATATATATATATATATATATATATATATATATATATATATATATATATATAATATATACTTTATTTAAAAAATTGTACTTATCTTAATTGAGATGAAAACGTTGACTACAGCCAGCTAAATCCAAATGGAGTAAATGGTTGGAACTTGGGGGGGGGGGGGGGTTGGAAAGGGGGAGACAATTGCGGACGTGTCGTGGTGGGGAGGGGGGGGGCTGTGATGCACTACAAAAGAGTCTCATCCGGTATTGTATTACCACCCGGGACCGCAGGGACAAAAACGCTGTCCGTGTCTACAATTAGGGCGTCAGACACGCCTTTATTAATGGGATGTTTCTCTCTTGGCCTGTTTAGGAATTCCTATAGTGTAACCAATACAGGTGAGAGTGTGCATTGAACTAGAGATGTTTCAGATTTTTTCTCTAAACCACTTGGTCAAAACGTCAACTCTTTAAAGAGATGGGTGATGCTAGATACTCTCAAAGTATCTGAACCTTGAATATAACAGAAGTGTACATTGTTTGGCTAAAGCTGCCAGCCCTAAAAAAACAACACTTCTACACAGTGGCGTAGCGAGGTCGGGTGTCACCCGGTGCGGCACTTAATGGTGTCACCCCCCCCCCCCCGGAGGCGTCGCGACCCTTCCCGGGGACAAACTTTCAAGTTTTCGATTTGCACACCCCCCCCCCCCCTCAAACTTTCGATTTGCACCCCCCCCCCTCAAGTTTTCGATTTGCAACCCCCCCCCCCCTCAAACTTTCGATTTGCACCCCCCCCTCAAGTATATATATATATATATATATATATTGCTATTTTTTTGCCTTGGTGTCACCCCCCTAAATGGTGTCACCCTGTGCGGTCCGCACCCCCCGCCCCCCCCCCCCCCTCGCTACGCCCCTGCTTCTACATCGGACTGTGTTTAAAAATCTACTATGCTATGTCAGACCCTTAATTTAGCTGTAAATTAAATTGTTCTTCTGGCTGCCTCTTTAAATTAAGCCATAGGCTATTAACCTCTTTTTGATACAAATCATTTAATTTAGTATATTTCGCGGTGTTTTGACTAGCCATTATTTCGCACACTTGTAGTCGCATTGACACTGTTATATTACTGAGTCCAAAGTTGATGCTAGTGTGTATTAACGCCCCCCCCCCCTCCTGTCCCACACCTGAACAAGGACAGCGTGCTATGCCCCCCCCCCCCCTCCACCCCTCTCCCGTCTCACAACTGAACTGGGATAACCCCGCCTACCAAAAATAATGTTAGATTTAATGTGTGGACGTCCACATTGGGCCAACCCCCCCCCCCCCCACTCCCCCCGTCCACACGCGTCCACAAAAGTCAATTTTTTCGGACCCCCCCCCCCCCCCCAGTGTGGACGTCATAAATGGATGACTCCTAATTTAGAAGTGTGAGACTTAAGGACAACTTTAGAATGAAGTTAACTCGGCCCGGCCCAGTGTATCAAAACAGTACGGACTTGAAAGTTTGTATTTAACCGTACACAAAAATCCAAATGGCCATGAATAAAGAATATCATTAGAATAAAAAAAACAATAGGCTGTGTGCTTAATCAGTCTACGAATGCCGTTACGTCCATCATAATAAATAAGGATGCCCTACAAACATTATGCAATGAATAGAAACATAATAAAGATGCCCGATAAAATATAAAGCGAACAAGGACATAATTACTGTAGGGATGCCCTTCAGACATTCAATAATGAATATAAGCATAATAAATATCCGATAATATATAAACGAATATGGGCATAATTGCTATAATTATATAAATACAAACGTGAATACAAGTAAATTACTTTAAAGATGCCCTGATGATATATAAAATGTATGCGGGCATAATTACTGTTTGGATGCCCTTCAAAAGTATTATGATGAATATAAGCAAATTACATTAAAGATGCCCCTCCAGTGTGTAAATTATAATCATGGGCTTTAATACTCTATGGATGACCACAAAGTATAAAATGATTATGGGCGTGTTCTCTAAAAGATGCCCCTACAGTGTGTAAATTATAATCATGGGCTTTAATACTCTATGGATGACCACAAGTGTATAAAATGATTATGGGCGTGTTCTCTAAAAGATGCCCCTACCTACACAAGTATCAGATACTCTATTAATTGAAAGACTGCATACATTTATTCGGGGAATATCAATGACTACTACACCACTACCC